TCGTCCCGCTGCGGTTCCCCACCTCGAGCGACGAGGAAGAGGAAGAGGCGACGAGACAAGACGCCGATTCGGACGAAGAGGGGGATGACACGACGACGACGACGACGGCGACGACGATGACGACGACGCCGAGGACGAAAACGAGGATGACGACGACCAAGAGGAGGAAGACGAGGAGGAGACTACGCCCAGGGCGCGCGAGATCCGGCCGTCTCGCCCCTCCGCCGCGGCCGCTACAGCAAGGCCGAGTTCGAGGCCATCGCGCGCTTCATGCTCGAGAAGCGCGACGTCTGGGACAAGATGAGCGAGAGGGCGCGCTGGAAGGAGTTCGCCGCGCGTCCAGAGGTGAGCGAGCCCCGCGAACCCACCCAACGTGTCCAGAGTCGCCTCACGGACTCCGTTTCCTGTCCCAGCACGCCGGGCGTTCGCGCGAATCGTGGCGGACCGCTGCGGAGACCCACGCGTCGAGTGAGTCTGGCGTTTGTTCTCTTGCTTTCGCGGTGCTCGCCTCTGACCGTCGATCCTATCACGTCCACAGACATCAAGAAGATATACGACGAGTTGCTCGAGGAGCTGGAGGAGTCCGCCGAGTCGAATGCTGACACGCCGCCGCAGAACGACTCGGCGAAGGGTACGTCGAACGAGGAAGCCGTCGAGGAGCGCGCGCACCCCGCGAGGATGACGCCGAGCCGTCCGTGCTGACCACACTGACCCCGGACTCGGAACCGATCGTGCAGGCGAACGAGGCGGAAGCGATGTGAACCCCAACTCAGCTCTTTGTTGTACGCGCTGCGGAGCTGTGGAGTATCTTGTCGTGAGGCTGTCCGTATATGTAGGTGCTTGATGCGAGTACGTTGCTGGTACTCAATCGCCGTTATGAATTATCTTGACTCTACCATGGTCGAAGTTGCGTTTGAGGGGCGTATTTGCTACTGCCGGAACCTCTCGCTGAACCTGCGAAGTTGGCTACGCTACAGTCTTCGAGCTTCAGATTCCAAGGTGGCGTTCGCACAAGGAGTATAACTTAGGCAGACCTTCCACGCACGACTGGGACATCCGGGACATACGACCTCGTTTTGATTGACGAGCACCTTTAGGTCTGGATAAGGTGACTGCCGCGCCGACCCAGCAGATCCGCCTTCCAGGCTATATGTACTTTCGGAGGAGGCAATATCGAACCACGGCGTATACTAGGTGGTTGGCTAGCTCGAGGGTAAGCATTCGTTTGTCTGGGCCAGCCTTTACCGTTAGGTCAAACCCCTCGTCGGCCCATACTTCCTCGTCCCGATCGTCCTCCGACCGCGTGCCTCCTTCACCATCGCACCCGCCGTCTTGTTCGCTGCCCACGGTCGTGCCTCCTTCGACCGGTATCTGACACTCTCCGCCGCCAATTCGTGCTCCCTCTTCTGACTCGCGTGCTCCCCCAGGACACCCAGACCCGCGCCTGCACGCCCGTTCGACCTGCCAGCGGAGGACAAGACCCTCGATGGCGAAGAAGCGGGGGTCCGAATCGCACCGTCGCGAGGCGGACTCGCAGAAGCCTGCCGAACCTTCCTTCACGCGCAGCCCACTGGGCACATACCACGCCCACTGCCCATTCACGCTCGGCGGCTGCTCCCTGGGTGTGATTGCGGTGTGCGTTGGCATCGAATGCGTGCGCACTCGCGCGATGCCGTCTGCGCACAGGTTGCACAGTGTGATCGGCTCGTCGCCGGGCATCGGTTCGGGGCGGCGTGGCTCGTGCACCGCGGCGGCGGCGGCGTAGACAGCCACGGACTAGGGATGGTGCGTACATATATGGCACTTGCCATCGCCGGCACCTGGTCACTGGAACTGAGTAGCCTGCGACATAGAACGGAGAGGTAGTATATGGCTATTTAGAGTGGTTTCTCTGTAGGTAGTGATGTAGTACAGGCAGTCTGTGGTCCGTGGTCGAGGAGTCGGTGTAGCCCGCATGTGTATGAAATGTGGAAGCGGCGGCAAGTGTCCAACCGTCATGGATGTCCGTTATGCTGCGAGCAGACATGGCGTCGGCCTAACCAGGGAGGAAGCGGGCGAGCCAATGGGGGGCGACCGAATGGATCGCGCGTGTTACTTGCTGAACACTGGAAGATCCGGAATAAGTATAACCATGGATGATTAAATATAGAAGATTAGGGGGCACGGACATGGTACTGTGTTCGGCGATCCGCTGGTTGGCTCTGATTTGCCCGTCGCGTTCGTCGATCCGCCCTTCGAGAGCTGTGATCTGCCTGTCGCGTACAGCGATCCGCTGGTCGAGTTCGGTAACCTGCCTGTCGCGTACGGCGACCCGCTGGTCGAGGGAGGAGATTTGCGCGTCGCGTTCGGCGACCCGCTGGTTAAGGACAGACGTCTGCGCGTCGCGCTCGGTGATCCGCTGGTTGAGGGCTCGGATATGCGTGTCGCGTTCGTTGATCCGCCCTTCGAGGCCGGTGATCTGCGTCTCGCATACGGCGACCCGCTGGACGAGGCCGTTGTTCTGCACGTCACGGTCGACGATCCGCTGGTCGAGGGCTGAAATCTGCGTGTTGCGTTCGGCGATCCGCTGGTCGAGGCTGGTGATCTGCGTGTCGCGTACGGCGACCCGCTGGATGAGGCCGTTGGTCTGCACGTCGCGTTCGGTGGCCCGCCGGTTGAGCCCGGTGATCTGCGTGTCACGTTCGGCGACCTGCCGCTTGAGGAAGGTTATCTCTGTTTCGCATATACTGACCCGCTGGTTGTAGCCGGCGAGCTGCACGTCGCGTCCGCCGAGCCGCTGATTGAGCCCGGACACCTGCGCGTCGCGTTCGGCGACTTGACTGCGAAGACTGGAGACTAAAGCCTCGAGGTCCGCGATTCGCTGGTCACGGTCACGGACGGTCTCGCTCGTGAGAAGACGGGCGACTGAAGCCTCGAGTATCGCGAGTCGATCACGCAGGTCGTTGTTGTCACTCGCATCGCGAGGTGGAGTGTCCGCAGCGCGAGCCGGAACGTTGGCACTGGCTGGAGCAGAGACCGTGGAAACGGCGGGGAGGCCAAAGGTCGCAGTGGCGAATTAGAAACCCGAGGGGCCGCTCCTCAGGATAGATGCGCTTACCACTGCTCGAGGCCTCGGTGATGGCGAGCCGCTTGATAGAGAGTGTGGTGGAAGACAGAGAAAAGTGGCGACGGGGCAGCGCGATGAGGAGGAATCGACGGAGCCTCCGTCTCTCGCGCTTGCGTTCGGTACGCTTGGGCATGGCGAGGCTGAGAGAGAGCGAGCCACACTCCGCACTTGAAGTACATCCAACTTCTCATGTGATTGGCGGGCGTGCCGGCGTGGCGTGCCGGAGAATAGGGGTGGTCAAAGGCGGCCCCTCGCGAGCTTTGGGTGGGCCTGCCTCAGTCGGCAGCGTGTGTTCCGCGTCCATGCGACCAGGAACGCGCTATGTATCGCCGCACCGCGAAATAAATGTGACGCCCAGCAGTCGCACGACCACTTACGCGCTATAAAGTGTTCGAGCACGAAGAGCTTGACACAAGGCTGACGCGTTCACGATGTTTATACCACGTGACCGTGACGATCCAGTCAAGTATAACGGGAAAACATCAGCCAATTTATCGGGAGT